TATCTCTATGACGAAATACTACACCTGCTATGACAACTTGTGAAAGTAGCAAACTTGAACCAGTGCTTCTATGTTGGCGGACTGTAGGAAGTAGCGGGCGGCGTGACATACTGTCTGTTTTCCCTGTATAAGACGATATATTTTCCCTAATGTTTTTTTTTAAGTTAAAAAGTGGGTGTCGTCTTAGACAGGGACTGCGATTAAAATATTTATTTGTTATTGGAGTAAAGGTGAATAGATAAACTTCGTTGCACCTGGCTTTACCCTGTATAGCTCCGTCCTCTCCGCAAAACAGCTAGATGTCTGCCCAGAGATCCCCAGGGATCTCTCTAAAAATTGTTCTTGATCTTAACGGCGCCACAGTGAAACGAACCCACGACATTCAGAGTGCGAGGCAAACGGTTTGCCCACTTCGCCGCTGGTGGTTGGGGGGGGGGGGAGGAGGCGGGGGGGGGGAGGAGGCGGGGGGGGGGGGGTTACATTGTCCTTTGATTATGCATTAGGTGCTATTATAATTATTATTATCAAAACCAATACTAAACTCAAAATTGTTTTTAAAATCTTTAATTCTTATGTCAAATCAGTACTTTTGCATGGAATTAAAACACGGAAAACAGCAAAACAATTACTTTTAAAAAAAAAAAACTGCAAATATTTATTAACTGGTGCCTGTGCAGAGTATAGGAAATTAAATGGTATGATAGAATCAGTATTGTTGAGTTATAGAAAAGGACTAAATAACTTGAAGTGTACCAAGAAGTTAACTGGATATGACACGAATTGTGAATAATATACAATATAGCAAGAACTTCCTTGCACTGGAACCCACAGGGACATATAAATAATGGAAGACCCCCCCTCCCCCCCCCCCCCCCCCCCCCCAAAAAAAAAAGACGCATGTAGAGGGTAGCTAGCGACTGAAGCTAAAATGATGAGAAAGACACGAAAGATAGAACGGCTTGGTGTGATTTGGTTCAGTGTCTATGATCCACTGAAGTTGGAAGTAAATAAAATAAAGGACCCTTTAGGGGGCGTATAAAGGGGGGGGGGGGGGGTGGGTGGGGGGGGGGGGGGGGGGTGGGGGGGGGGGGGGGGGGGGGGGGGGGGGGGGGGTGGGGGGGGGGGGGGGGGGCGGGGGGGGGGGGGGGGGGGGGGGGGCGGGGGGGGGGGGGGGGGGGGGGGGGGGGGGTGGGGGTGGGGGGGGGGGTGGGGGGGGGGGGGGGGGGGGGGGGGGGGGGTGTTCCACGCCTTTAGGCGTATAGGGCATATAGGGCTAGACATATATTTTTATAGACCATCGGCACAAGATGGGTGATGTGGTCAGCATCACGCCGGCCGCCTCTACTTCCCGGGACTGCACCGGGTACCCACTCAAGGCTGGGTCGACCTGTGAGCTAAGGTCATTTTTGAAAAAAAGTCCGGCTCCGCCAGGGAGCGAACCCACGACCTTCCGATCCGCGGCGAGCGTCTAGCCACTCCGCCAAGGCGGAAGAAGAAAGATGTATTAAGTAAATACGATATCTGGCCGTGAAGTCAACGTTCAAGTGCGAATAAAACAGGAGCAACTCCCAGGAATCCTTTTCAACCATATCTGCTGCTGCTGCTGCTGCTTTTTTTACATTCACGATATGGTTGACATAACCCTTCTGTTTCTTTCAAGATACGCCCCTTGAATTAGACTTATAATTCGTATACAAACTAAAAGTCGCCATTATGTCACTGCTAAATATTTTTAAAAGTACTCTTCACGGTCAATTTGTCAGACCAGAACGTCTCCGTATCTAGAGACAAACTAGAGTAAATATTCATTGACATAAGTGGGCCATATAATTTAGGCATGTAGAAAAGTCAGGCCTAATTCCAGATTATTTCACAACGAAAAACATTAAGGATACACAAATTTGTAATGTGGCGTCGTCGAATAGGGCAAGTCTGCCGCTTATGATTACTTCAGGCTCTCACCTGTTAGTGTCCAGACAAAATAACGTTCATGTCTAGGACTTAAAGGGAAACTGGTGCTATAGTCCGTTCCAAATGTCATGCCCACATTTGAAAATCTGTATCTCAGTACCCGTTTGGTGTATGTTGCTGACATTTGGCACGCAACCTGTTAATTATCATGTCTTTGTAAAAGTGTTTAAAAAAATGTAAACAAACATCTAGTTTGTATTTTGCCATTTTGTTTTATTATATATATATATATATATATATATATATATATATATATATATATATATATATATATATATAAAGAGGGGGGGGGGTGGCAGACACTGATTCAAAGCAAACAATCACCATGCTTACAGTTAGGAGTAACGGGAACTTTTCAAAACATTAAATTACATGCGTTTCATAGGCGTCACACACTTTGGTGGTCATCTCCAGCATTAGTCTTCCATGAAATAAAGATTTTTTATTGTATGTTGTATAAGCTATCAAAATAATAATCACGCATCGCTGCATGTGTAATTTCCAAACGATCTCCAAGTGCTGAATATTCTATTTTTGGTGTACACAAATTATTAGTCAAACAAAGATCAAAGAAATTCGCTGCTTTAAGAAAACAGCAACCATTGTGCGATTGTAAACCGTAAAATCATAGGGACAAGGGAAATCTAAGGCCACATGCTAAAAAAAAATTTGTGGGATGGCACGATTTTTGAAACAACTACAGCTGTATTTGTTTTTAGACAATGCGGCGCTTTTCTTCTTTGAAGAGTTTACACCGGTTGTAAACTCCGGCGGAAACTGCTGGTTGTTCCAATGTTTGACCTTTGACTTTGTGCTAGGGCCTTAGTTTTACTTGTACTTCCGTGTAACTGGCTTATGTGTGTGCAGCTGTTTGTTTCTTTCCGCTCGAGCAGATACACTCCGTCTTCGAAGGAAGCTCCCAATTAGTCGACTCTTATGAAATGCTTTTTCTGTTCTTCGGGGGAGGTAAGCAGTGGGCATATTTTTGTTTCCCCCACATTGGGACCAAATGAGATTCCCGTCACATAGACCGCATTTTGCTATCAGTACATCTCCTGATATCCGTTATAGGCTGTATCCATCTAGGAGTGCAGGCAAACATACAACTCAGACACACAATTGTCAGTCCAGCAGCAAAGATCCAGCCTTTTTGCTATCGTAGTTCTCAATATGTGTATGGTTCGTTCGTCTGTTAAAGTAAACTTCATTCAACCGCTTCCTATAAAGAGGCGCATGTTGTTTGTACTCAGTTCTATAGACAATCCGGAACTCGATGGGCAATGTGGTCAGTATCACCACAAGCGCCTTTACTTCTCAGTAAATTTCCTGGTCAAGTTTTGGCTGGATCGACGATAGCTCATGGCAATTTCAAAATGTGCCCCTATCTAGCCACTTCATAAGCATGCTAACCACTTAGATGCCACACATAGATTTGAGGGGAGGAGGTGGGTGGGGGAAGGGGGGGTATCTGTGGCGAAGTGGTCAAACCAATTGCCTCGCGCTCTAAAAGTCGTGGGTCGTTTCACGGCAGCCTCGTTCGGTTTAGGAGTGCAACTTTTACGCAGACCCCTGGGGATCATCCCCAGAGTTACGGTGTTCCAGCTTTATTATACGCTCTCGGTAGGCGATTAGCTGTTCTTCGGAGAGCGACCGTGCCATATGAAATAAAACCCTGTGCAATGAAGTCCATCCTCTCGACATTAACAGACATCACAGCTGACTATTCCTGGTTAAAGATCTTTATCCTTGAGACGGAAATCTTCGCCGCCGAGGAAGGTGCAACAGGACGTATCTCTACTTTCACATACAGTTTACTAAATCACCTGGGCTTGCAAGGAAATGAGCGTAAACAGTCACTAAAACAATTAGGCGAAGCTGCGGAAAGGGCTTCGAGCTGGCTTTGGACGCACGGAACGTCGTGGGGATGAGCCTCGGTAGACTAGTCCGAGCCACAAGTGAAAAAGAGCTTTTGTATCCCTAAAAGCCAAAGTGTCCAATAAATGTCTGCCAGTGTCTCTCTGCCAGTTGCCAAAGACTAACACCTGTTTGTAGAACCAACCGTCAGCGTGTCACTCTGATAGTTAAGGTAGACGACTAATTTGCTACGGCAGCGACAATATGTATAAAATACCAAAACTCACGATACCTGCTGCAAAGTCACCATATCGGCTTGTCCGTGTCCGAGAGTCAGATAAAGTGCAGCAGTGAAAAATCGTGGCCTGGCTTCATGAACCAGGTTGGCCCACCTTCCAAGATTGTGTTCATCCATTATCTTGCGATGTCCAGTTGAAGTCTGATATATACGGACATAAATAGCTAGGCTGCCTCTTTGAGTCCCAAGAAACGCATCATAGGTTTATAGATTCCTACCTAGAGGCCTAATGAACGCATGACGCGCCGATTTTACGTCTCTTTTGACTAGCCCTTGGGCCTGGGATACGAAACCAGCTGAGACTCAAAGAGTCGTAATAATAGTACAAAAAACAAACTAACGTGTACAGAATCCTCACCGGTGATAAGTAGTTCATGCCCTGCGCTGAGACTCTTCAAACGGCTTGAGTTAGAAGTAGAACGGAGCACTTATGGGTTTTGAACCTTGTGCCATGAGGTTAATCCGTTGTAAAAACCAGTTAAATTCAGTTAAACTAGGGTGTACGGACTGCAACTCATAAAAAGAAGTAGAGATCGAAGGACACACTAGACAAGATAAAATCGAAAGCTTCATTTTCCATATCAGGACTTCTAAATGGTAACAGGGCCTGGTGCTGTAATAGATGTTTACAGACGCAATAATAATCACCCTTGGGGGGGGGGGGGGGGGGGGGGGCTAGGGTGTTCGTATTAGGGGATACCCAAAGACCTATCTATTTTTGTATCCATTGCATGCAAAGTCGACAGCTCTTTCCAATTCCACATTATGGTTGATCGATATAGCAAGTTAACATGGTTTAGTTGTTATAATATTTTGAAATTAAATAGTCCACAGAATTAAATAGATGTATTCCCCCCTCCCCCCACCCTCTTTTCAGAGTAGCTCAGAGTTGTCATCTGCACAGATCTTAGGTAAGTGACGTTGTCACGGAGACTGTACGTGAGAAAATGTTTTCAATTAAGCTAACGAACGAATTTCCATTTTCCTATAGGTACAAATCGGACACTTAGTCCCGTCTTACATTCGGTCTTTCTAAACACTTAATTTCACACAGCTATTCTGTCTTATCAAGTCGTAAATTTATTAGACGCAAAAGGTCTTTCTATCTTCTTTTACCTCACCAGGACATCACACAAGCGATAAACACCTGATGATACAAAGTGCCACCATGTGGATGAGGATAACCGGCGGAGAGGTCCCAGAAACCGCGTTCAGCCATTAGACCATATTTCTGGCCGGGCTATTTTGCCCGGTGACTTGATGTATAAACAACAATGGAGACTGTTCGAAAGAAATTAAAAGGAGGATGGCCATAGCAATGCAAAGATTGAACAGCCTTAAAAGTCTATGGTTGAGCACCAGCAAGGAGATAAAAATTAGAATTTTGAGAGCATGCATCTTCCCTGTGGCTACATACGGATGTGAGTCGTTGACTATCTCTCAATCCTTAAGAAAGAGAATAGGGGCTTTTGAGCTGAAATGCTAAAGAAAAATTCTCAGAATATCTTGGACAAAGAAGATGAGAAATATTGACATCTTAAAAGATCTGAACATCAAGGAAGATTGGCTAATAAACAGCATCCTTTCTCGAAAGCTGAAATATTTTGGTCATATCAAGCGCCACGACGGATTGGAAAAAATTATAGCAGAAGGCAGGGTACGAGGAAGGAGGGGCAGGGTACGAGGAAGGAGGGGCAGGGGCCGACCGACACAGAGATGGGCACAGGATATAAGTGACTCATTGAGTGTGAAAGTTCATGAGGCGGGAGAACTGGCAAGAGACCGAGTTTCTTACAGGCAGACTGTGATGAGAACGACGTTCTGCAAAGGACCTGCTACATGATGACTTGATATATTCAAATATTAATATCGTCGTTAAACGGACTCTTACGAGACCCAACCATCTGCCTTGACATCTATAAACATACACCGCAGTTTTTGACGCCTCCTAATGTGTATGTAGATAGCTCAAAAGACGTGGTATTGTTGTCTGTGTTAAGGGTATATTTGCAACCTCTTGTTTAAAAAAAAACATCTAAAGACTATAGCCAATCAAATGCTGAAATGACACGCGGAAATGTTACACTTTTACAGTACAAATTAGCCGGGATTTAGGGAAACTTGTAGCACAAGAGACCGGGGTGGTAACTATTAACCAAATCTGAAATCCAAAGAAAAAGGGGAGAAGAGGTCCAGTGGAAGTAATAAAAAGGACTAAAATCACTAAAGAAGCTAACACAGACACTGGCAAGCAAGGTGTAGACAGCCTTATATACTGGAATCTTAAACATATTCGTCTGTGTGTGAAATAAATACACATGCCTTCTTCTTGGATTCAAATCGGCATTGAGACGGGGTTCTCCTCCCCCCCCCCCCCCCCCCCCACACACACACTTAAAAATAGACTTTGGCTCCCAGGTCGATCCAGCCTAAAATGGGTGCCAGTTATTATCCTGGGAAGTAAAGTCGACCGGCGTAATGTTGACCACATCCTCCACCGAGTGCCAGTTGTTCATATAATATGTGTCTGGCACCATTTGTCTGATGCGCCGATGGCGTGAAAATTGGTCATTTAGTGTATGTACTGCGTCTGGGAACAATAGTCTTGGCTGCAGCTTATTGGACAGCTGCTTGTGTATTGGTCTCTTTCCGTCTTTCACGCGATAGTGGTATGTATTGCTTTAAGCATGTTTTGCCCATATATTATGATCCTTACTTGGCCTGCCTTCTTTACTCCATAAGAAAGTTAACATTACAAAGTTTAGAACAAAGCACGTTGCAGAAGCTGGTAGATCAGAAAAGCATAACTATGTCTATTCAAGTGTCGGAGATTCCCTCCTAGACGAGCTGCCACCCAAGGCTAAAAGCCTGATGTATTCTTTAGCAGACAGAGCACCGTTTTACTTTGTTAGGCAAGAACAATAAAAGAACATCATTTTTTTACAAACAAATTTGAGCGAAAATTTTGAAATTCCCGTTTTCTCTCATTTAAATGTGTGCTTCTAATGTAGAGTTAAAGGAAGCGTTCAGCCTCTTTGATAAAGACGGAGATGGCACCATCACCACTGTTGAGCTGGGTTCGGTGATGCGATCTATGGGACAAAACCCAACAGAAACTGAGCTACAAGACATGATCAATGAAGTGGATGCAGACGGTGAGTCTTCTTCCCTGATAAATCTGTTATTTTTCACTGGTATATCTGTTATTTTTCCCTGGTATATCTGTTATTTTCCCCTGGTATATCTGTTTTTCCCCTGTCAATGTGGGTTTTGTAAAGGATTGTACGGAATAGAACCAAATGGAGATTGTACTGCGGGCTCTATTGTATAATGACACAACAGAGTGGGTGTTGATGATTAGTGAAGGAACTTCACTGGTTACAGGCAAGAGGATCCACTTCCTTTCACCTGGTTATATCCCATATGGCTCAGTCTTTCTCCGCAGAGCAGCTGTCTGCCTGCGGAGAGCGTGGCACGGAGCAACACCTCCCTAGTTCCGGCGACGATCCCCATGGACCTCCGTAAAAATTGCACTCGTGAACCGAACGGCGCAGCTGTGAAACAAACACACGACCTTCAGAGCGCGAGGCCAACGGCTTGACCACTTCGCCACAGAAAACCTCAAAGCTTAACTTGTCTTCTGGTATATCTGTTATTTCTCCCTGTCTAAGCGTGGGTGTTAGATAAGATTTTACGGGGTAAAACAGAATGGCCTCTAGCCAGATGTAACGTATCACGGTACAACAGAATGATCACTGACTGACTTTCTACCCCACCAGGACATCACACAAGCGATAAACACCCGATGACACAAAGTGCCACCATGTGGGTGAGGATCACCGTGGAGAGGTTCCCAGAAACCGCTTTCAGCCTTTAGGTCATATTTATGGCCTGGCTATATTGAGGCCTCCGGCAAGAGCCAGAGTAGGGCTTCAAATAACGAAAAATTTCGTCCTTAAAAGGTCGGGAGATAGTAAGAATGATCACGATGATTGGTGTGGGAACTTAACTGTTATTGTCTTCTGTTTTTAAGTCTGCAATTAATGAATATATCAAACGCAAATACTCTTTAGTTGGTCTTCTGATAGTCCATCTCAATATTTATAATGTCCTTGAAAATCTGCCCGAAATGTCGCTTGTTTTTAATTTTTACGTGCAGATGTTGGAACTATTCATCAGAAAACAAAAATATGTAACGGCATAACAGATGTTAGCTTAAAGTACAACTAATTTCACTATTATATTTTATGAACAACAAGCAGCTGTTAGAGTAGCAGGTGAAACATCAAACTGAAAACAATTAAGTCAGTCAGAGTTGTATTTTCTCTGAGTGCTAGTTTAATGATTAAGCGCAATGTTTAGAGAGATCAATCGCAAATGATACGATATGTGCACGTTCTGATCATCTCAAAATTGTTTAAAATCAAATTCCTGAATACAGTCACTAGAACGGCCGTTTTTTTCTCTACGACAGCACAAATATATTAGAAGAGTGAATCCTGTCTGTCAAGAGATACAGTAGTGGTTAAAATATGTTTCTGAACACTTATGAAAAACAAATAGATTAAATAACAATATCAAAATGTTTAATCAACAGTGTATTTTACCCGTGGTTTTAGCAAAGTTATGGCCCCTGGAAAATGTGACTGACTGACTGAATTTCTACCCCACCAGGACATCACACAAGCTATAAACACCCGATGACACAAAGTGCCACCATGCGGATGAGGATCGCCGTGGAGAGGTCCCAGAAACCGCTTTCAGACAATTGGCCATATTTATGGCCTGCCTATATTGCGGCCCCTGGCAAAAGCCAGGGTGGGGCTTCAAATAACAAAAAATGTCGTCCTAAAAAGGACGAAACTGGATAATAATAAGTATACATTTAGATGTGACAGTGCGGGATCAGCAGAAATATGGACACAGAAAACATCTTGCGCACGAGAATACACGAGACTGGAAACTGACCTTTTTCTGTACTCGCCGTCAAATAGGCGGTGGGGATGTTGGTGTTACAGTTTACAGTTGACTGCAGTATTTGTTCATTTCTGTTTACAGTATCTAAATTCAACATATCTTTAATTAGTTCCTCAATACAGTTTTACCAAATGCTTGGGCGCATTGGGTACATCCCCCCCCCCCCAATCCCGCAGAATGGGATCTTGAAACCCGTAAGGCAAATTGGAGGGGGTGAAGGTAATTAATCTTCTAGCCGCGACTTTCTGCCATGGATTCGCTGGTGATTTTTATTTTTTTATAACTTTCTTCATTAGCACATATTGTTGCTGTTGATGACGTGTTGGATGTTGTTGTTAATAATGATTACCATACTAATAGATGTACCAGTTAAATAATGTAAGAAATGACAGATAAAAGCGTAGATGAAATTGAGTACCCAATACTAAACAGTATGGGTGAAAAGTGTTTCCCGTTCTTTATTCGTTTTCTTTGAAGAATGAAATAAAGAAGAGGAGGACGGAGGAGGGTGATAAGAAGGAGAAGGAAGATGAGGAGAAGAATAAGAACAAGAAGAAGAAGAAGAAAAAAAAAAAAGAAGAAGAAGAGGGAGAAGATGACATGTTCTGCAGATGTATCAGTATATAGGGAATACTTTGCTTTTATTATGTAATTTGTTGTTCTGTATTTCAGTATTATTTACTAATTATATAATAAATTTTGTAGAAAGTTTTTGAAAAATTTTAAACAGTTCACTTTTTTTCAAAACAGGGAGCGGAGCAATAGATTTCCCAGAATTCCTCACGATGATGTCACGAAAGCTGAATGCTCTTGACCAGGAACAAGAGATTCGCCAGGCATTTGAAGTATTCGACAAGGTACATAGTGATAAATTTATGCAAACACCAATGATGTTGAGAACTAAACAGATCAGAAAACCAAAAATTTCAGAATGTTTTCCCAAATGTAGCACACAGTCACTGCATGACTGGGCCAGGTTGGCGGCGCTAAAATTTGTTGTTCTTTCTCTTGTATGTAGCATTCCTACATATATATTACTGATTTATCAAACATTGGAGGTCAACTTGCGTGGGTCATTTGGCAGCCGATCATTCTTTGCTGATTAAGTCAACGGTGCTATTCGCACAGAAAATAAAGTAAAATGCCAGATAATCTATTGGAACTACGTTTGTATTTTTGTCGCAACATCCGACCTTCACTTTTTTAAATATCCGCTTTAAAGTGTTAATCTCCAGCTCGTTCTTGTGGTGGCGGTCATTGCTCCTCTCCAAAGTTGCTCTCCAATGTGGAAGATATATTGTTTGTCTTCAGCTGAGGTTAACTGTTCTTATTTGTGAGAAACAAATGTCAGTGCTGATTTTCAGTTCTTACTTCATTTGGCATTGAAAGCTTTCTGTGGGCGGGTTTACTTTGATGCTTCGCTAAGACTATTTTGGCGGGGATCTGGATAGAAAGGGGGAGGGGGGTAAAGGGGGGGGGGGGGGGGGGGGGGGGGGGAAAAGGGGGGGGGGGGGGGGGGTCTGTCTTCCTCTGTTCTGTCTCCCTATCATACCAGAAGCCGAAAGCGTTTATTCAGAGCGACTAGCGGAGCCATTAAACAGCTTGACCCTCATTCATTAGCTATGCGGCCTCAAATAATTAGCTTATGACTACAACCATTCTCCCTGTTCTAGCCCTTTACGCCCCACACGCGCGAAGGCGTGGTAATTGGTCCTTTACTTTATTTTACTTGACTTATCAAAACGTTTACTGGTACCAGGATTGATAAGTTACCAAGAATCTTGTTCTTGAATTTTTATTTACATTTCAAGAACATAAACATGATTTTTAAATCATTAATATCGCAGTGAGCTGAACGGGTGCTGAACCACAAGAGTGGTGCTCTATGAGCGGTTACCAAAGAAACAGGTGCACAAACTGGAGCTTGGCCAATGTAAATATAGTTTAGGTTAACTTCAAAGTCAGAGGGTATCTACCTGAGAGGTCAGGAACTAGCAATATGTACACAAATAAGCCAGATCTGAAAATACTAGTTTGCACGCAACATTGAAATCCTGGAACATGACAACAGCTCGGGCGTATAAGAACAACCTGGATTTTCCGCAGGATTTCTTCAGTTGGTTTATAGAATATTACCGAGACCATTGTCTTCTTCTTGATTATTGACAGGATAAGAACGGGTTTATCTCCCGTAGTGAACTCAAACAGGTGATGGCCACACTGGGCGAGAAGTTGTCGGAGGAGGACGTCACCTTGATGCTCAAGAGGGTTGACACGGACGGGGATGGACAGGTCAACTACAAAGGTCAGTTCATGCAGATAAGTAAAGGTTAGAGATTGTCTGTGTCGCCTCATACAAGTTTGGCTACAATGTCCCACTTCTGTCTAAATGCATAGTACATTAAGTGTCAACACAGTCCGAAAACCACGAAAAAATAGGGGGGCGGGGGTTGTTGTTGTTAAACCGTGCCTCTCAAAAATCAAAATTGAGTACTCGAGGATGAAGAAATTGTTAAACACATCACCAACCTCTAACTTCAGACATTACTTGCCAAGACATTCAAGTTGTGGTGGCTTGTTTCTCCCGTCGTCGAGTTTTATTCCTAGATATGTGTAATTTGT